GAGTCCTGAATTCCAGCGATGACACACTGAGATCTTCCCCTTCTTACCCCCTGCCTACCCCTATCCCCCTGTCGTGTGCTCCCCCCCCCCACCTTGTCAGTACTGTTACCCCCTACCCTTACCTTCCTAAGGCCAACCTTGGCGTTATCCCTATCGATAGCTGGTAATAATCCTACCCATGATAGGGCAAGTTACCAACTCCGGATGGGTGGGACCCCTGAAGGTCGACCGACGCCGCCGGGGCGGTTGCCAGCGCTGGGTCAACAGGGGCCACACCCTCCCCCTGGATAATTGATTCAGACCTATGCCACACTTGTACTTAGAGGACCATCTGGGAATAACCACAGGCAAGGTAGCAATATAGTTTAGTGCGGGTGCCCTAGGGTGTCCCGACTGCTATACAGCCAGTCGGGTTTCCAATTGAGGGATCACCTGAAATTAGCTCATTGGAGGGGCTTCACTACCCGCCTGTTGGAGCTCCTCACGAATCATTCACGCCACATTGTACCCGGATAGGATTAATGGGATATGGAAGGTTGTTCCTTATATATATGTGCCGCTCTTTACCGTTGTCATATATTGAATGTTTTGTATGTCCTGTCCATACCCGGACCTGCGTTTCCATGCGGGTACGTCCTTAAACATTGGAAACTTGAAATAAAGAAATTTATAGAAAAAAAAGACCCACATTTTCCCTTGGCCATTAAGTCGCGACCCAAGACGCACTGCAATGGAACGTACAGCATTGCGATACCGTGCGTTCAGGTGATTAAACAGTGTTGGCAGGCGGTGCGTTTGGGGTGCCATTCAAATGAATGGTAACAATGCATCTCCCACATAAGAATGCATAGTAAGTGCAATTGCGTGGTACAGTGTGTTAATGGCACAGGACTGTTCGATTACCGCACTGTACTAGTGTGAACGGGCCTTCAAAAACTCTGACAGACACAATCTCACACACATATACACACCAAAGATCCACTGAGTCTCCCTACCTTACAAGAACTGGAGTGCCATCCATATGTGCGTTGCTTGTACAGCTCCCTTTTCCACCCTGTAGCGGTGGCGGGAGGCAGAATGTGATGTCATTCTAGCCCAGGCATCTCTATAGGACATGTGAGGGACCTGTAAGTAATGCATGTGTGGATGGATGAATGTATGGATGAAGCTCCCTCGAGGCCATAGCCCCAGCCCACCCCACCTCAAGCTGACACTCAGCACAGGGCAGCATATTTTGAATGGCTGCTTGGCCTGAAAACTGACAGTGCTGCACTAGAGGAAGGTTGAGAACCCTCTCCCCTAGAAAAGTGGAAGCCACAAGACAACCCACCGAACACAGGGTCGCGACCCACTTTTGGGTCGCGACCCACTAGTTGAGAACCAAGGCTGTAGACCAAACCACTAGTGTTGATTGTTAGCTTTTCTTCCAAGCAGTACATTGAGAAACAAAGACGTATGTGTTGAGTCTTTTTGCCTGGCGTTTCCCTTTAACGCTGAACGCATTCGTTTCATCATGGCTTTTTCTGTCTGTGGGGAACTGCCAATATCTAATAATACATACAAAAGAAATGGGGATCTGGGCATGGCAGAGAAGCTATAATAATATCACAAAAGCACAATTCCTAATTGTTCTTACAAAGAATGCTGAGAAATTCTAAAATTAGGTGGGAAACGCAAGACAGATGGGAACTGTTAACTTCCCAGCTGAAATGGCATTAAAGGCTCCCAGTATCATCCAACGAGCAGTTTCCACTGTGTCCCTCCCCCACTTATCTAGGACACCCTTGTCATATGAAGGCAATTAATCATATAGGAAAACCCCAATTCATGTGTCAGCTTAGCCATTTTAGTCTGCTTCTTAATTAGTAAGGAAACAGATCTCCTGACAAAGAAATCAAAAAAGGGGGCTTCTAGTTTAAAAAATGCTTTATTATATTAAAACAAACAAGCTCATTGCGAGCTGAAATGAATCGTTCTACAAATGTAGGCAGTATCTTCAAGAAAACGGTTTCTGGATTCATTTCATAATTGCCACTGGGTCAAAAAAGAAATTAGATTTTATATAATATATATATCATCAGTTTGAGAGGTTGAACAAACAACAGCTGCCTTCAGCACAGGATAAAAGCCTCACTGTGTCAGGTATCAGGTCTCCTTAAAGGAGAACTATGGGGTTAAGGCTTTTCCCCATAGTTCTCCTTGGGGTAACGGGAGGACACAAACTAGCATCCTCCCGTCACCCTAAGCTCAGTATACCGCGAGCTACAGCTCGCGGTATACTGAGACACCGAGAGACGCCACAGTATACCGCGAGCTACTGCGGTATACTGACACGCCGCAGCTGAAGCGGATCCCCACAACTATGTCTGGATCCGCCCGGCTGCCGGCGGATCGGAGCAGGGAGGGGGGAATCCAGCCCCTCCCCTGTCACGGCAGAGAGCTGTGACAGGATCGAGAGGTGAGCGAACGCCGGTATGTGTTCACTCACTTCCCGATCTACTGAGCCGACCTGTGACAGTCTCATTGTCGCAGGTCGGCTAGAACTATGAGGTGAGTGATAAGCACTCACCTCATAGTTCTCCTTTAAAGTGACACTAAACACAAGAGTTAAATCTTAAAAATACATTCAAGTACCTTAACTAGTAAAAAAAAAATGTATCTTATTTGTGTATCACTCGGCTGTAGATCCTCAAATCATCTCAGAATTCGTGCCGACACTGTCCTTCCTTCTGGAGGATGGCTACTTTTATTCCCCATGGTCCCTGTGTGTGTTGCAAAACTCACTCCTGTGATGGAACATAATCTTAACATAAATTAGTAAACGGAGGCTAGGTTCACACCTAGGCAACACCTCACCGTGCGGCAATCGTGCACGATTCCGCGCGGATCGCCGCGTAGTCAGTAGTCGCCAAGGTGTGAACCGATCGCGCTGTGGGTTCCATTATTTTCTAATGGCCCCCCAGTCATGCTGGGCAGATTGCGCGGTTTCCCGCCGCGATTCCGCCCGTGCTTCCGAACACAATAAAACAGCCGTACATGTACCTTTTTTCTGCAATTGCCGCGTGGATGTCGCCCCAAATCAATGGGGCCATGCGGCAAATGCTGACTGCATTGTGCAGGATTGTGCGATCACGGGACTACGTCCCAGTTGTCGTGCAGTGTGGTGCAGGTGTGAACCTAGCCTTAACGTGAGATTGTAGTCCAGCTTGGAGCAGTGGCTACTTTTCAACACACACAGGGACCATGGGGAACAAAAGTAGCCACCCTTCAGAAGGAAGGACAGTGTCAGCATGAATACAGAAAAGATTATTTGAGGATCTGCCGCTGAGTGATACGCAAATAAGATACCTTTTTGTTAATAGTTAAAGTACTTGAATGTATTTTTAAGATTTAACTCCTGAGTTTAGGGTCACTTTAAGGTTTCCCTTTATCATATCATGCAGAGGAAGAGATCTATAAACCTATAAGAACAGAAAATATAGGAGAAACTATTGCTGAATTTGTTTTAAATGCCTTGATTCTGACAGCGATACAACTTCTCCCGAACCTGTGTCTTTAAATACTAAGTCAGCAGTGGCAGCCCCTATATTTTTATCCCCACAGGTTCCCTTTAAGAATCGATCGGGCAATCACATGACTTTGCTTTTGAGTGGTCTACCTATACACCAGACACAAAAGTGACTCCTTGTTTCAACAGGAGGTGGGAGCGAGGCACTGGATCCAGATCCTTAAATGTTAGGTAGGAGGTCTTTGTTTAGTTCCAATGGCCCAGGTTCAGCAGCTACCCACAAAATGGGGTTCTCCTTGAATAAAGTGGTAGCCCTGCTTGGAAAATCTATGGGGCTGATATACAAACGTTTTGCCCTGCATATACCTAGGCAAATGCCATTCACACACCGTTACAGCCGCTAGATGGAGCTAGAAGAGCAAAGGAATTTTCCAGGCTCCATCTAGCGGCTGTAATGCCACGCAAATAGCAAGCCTGTATACATCAGCCCCCATGTGTAAATGAGCCAGAAATAGAGCTGAATGTTTAATTCAAAAGGGTAACACACGGTAGCCAACACGTTTTAGGAGCCAAACATCCCCCCTTCATCAGGGCTTAAGGAATTGCCATGGAATTTAATGGACTCAGATCTGGAATCCTGGTTTTGTGCATTTGTACGGTAATCCATTGTGAAACTTTCCTCAGTGCAGGAACTTCCTGTAATAAAGACAAGTCACTGCTGCTCTCTCTGCTTGTGCAGGGTGACCACGAGCTTTACACATAACACAAGATTGGACATAGTTTGTACTTATCTCTCTGCACTCTCCTCGTTGGATGATTACCCAACAAACTTTTTTTTTTTAAGTTTCCCGCTCCCCATTCTCCAGTTGCCAAGAGTGCCATCCAGATCATAGCTGTCAAAGGGGTGAGGTTCAGTGTCTGCCTGTCCTGCAAAGACCAGATCTTGATTGGATAAATACTTGGCTGGTGAAATCTGGTGTTGATTGGCCAATCTTTGCAACCACATACAATCCAAAAGCGGTCTGATTAATCCATAATCTATCCATCCTGATATGTAGCAACCTAAAGCTGCACCTCTATATCCTGTGCCTTATTAAAAATGTGTAATGTGATCATGTATTTCATTCTGCTGAACTTACAATTACTATTTTATAAGATTTGCCATTTTTAGCTCCTTTATAATTATACACACCAACAATATAACAATATCAGCTAAGCACCAAAGAACTGCAATGCATGCAAACCACACCACCCACATCCCACATCAATACAAAGTGTCCCCCAGCATTCATTCCTACTCATGCATGCAATCTCTCCCTAATACAGGGTTAGAGGGAGATGCAAACCACACCACCCACATCAATACAAAGTGTCCCCCAGCATTCATTCCTACTCATGCATGCAATCCCTCCCTAATACAGGGTTAGAGGGAGATGCAAGACAAGCCTGTGCTCAGTCATGTAAACCTTCCAGCCACTCACCCATCCCTTACCTCCTTATTATACTCTGTCAGTGCCTTCTGCACCAGCTCCTGCTCCCCAGTCTCCAGCTGGTCTAGGATGGCATCCAGATCCATGGCTGGCAGAGGGAAGGGGGTGAGGTGCACGGTATCTGCTTGCCCTGGGTTTAGCAGGAAGTGGACCCAGCAAGGCTGCTCTTCCTACTGCTCTCCGCTGACACGATGACATCACACAGGGGTGGGCGGGGCTTGCCCGGGACTCCAGGGCTGCACATCACATCGCAGGCAACGTGTCTGGAACGGGGGCGAAAAGGGATCAGACCGGACACAGGAGACTGATTCGTCTAAGTGCTTTATCTGGATGATGCAAATCCACACACAATCATCACAGCACAACATGAGGCTGCTGCTGCTGAATCAGAACTGGCTGACTTCTGTGACACATGCAGAAGGAGCTGATCACTATTGTATTTAGTATTGTTCCTGTGAAGCTGAACTCCAGAGTTCAGACCGGTGTAACGGCAACATTGTATTCACCAACAACAAACAATTCAATATCATATCTGTGTCATTATTATTCAATATATTTGTGTCATTATTATTCAATATTATATCTGTGTCATTATTATTCAGTATTATATCTGTGTCATTATTATTCAGTATTATATCTGTGTCATTATTATTCAGTATTATATCTGTGTCCTTATTATTCAATATTATATCTGTGTCATTATTGTTCAATATTATATTTGTGTCATTATTAGTCAATATATCTGTGTCATTATTATTCAGTATTATATCTGTCATTATTATTAACCGCTTGCTGTCCAGGCCATTTTTCAGTATTCAGCGCTGCGTTACTTTGACTGACATTTATTCCGTCATGCAACGCTGTACTGAAATTAATTTTATACCATTTTTTGGGGACAGATAGAGCTTTCTTTCATCACCACTGGGGTTTTTATTTTTTACTATATTAAGGAAAAATTAGTGAGCATTTAAAAAAAAAAAAGATTTTTTTACATTATATTAGGAAACAATTATTATTATTACCCAATTTTTTGGTAAAATATAAAACAGGGGGTCACGTCGGGTAAATAGACACCAAACATGTCAAGCTTTAAAACTTTGCGCACCCGCAAAATTGAAAAAAACGACCATACCCAAAATTGACCATAGGCGACGCTTTAAACGCTTTTACCGCTCATCGGCTTAATGTTATCAGTGATTGATGGCCCTAGAATTATTGTCTCACTGCGATGTTCACAACGATATGTAACATGTGCGGCGTAATGGGCGCAATTGTCATTTGCATGCGTGTATGTATAGGTGGGGACTTTATTCTTTTTTTAGTGTAACTAAGATTTTTTTGGGAAACTAATTTTTTTTCACTTAACTTTATTGCTATCAGATAGGGGGCTAAGAAAACCCCCTATGTGATAGAAAAGATATGTGACAGGTCCCCTTTATGGAGACATCAGGGGTCTCCAAGACCCGTAATGTCACCTAGGACCCCCCTGAAGAAGCTGATGAAGCAGAGATCTGAGTGACAGCAGAATGCGGAAGTGATGTCATATACATCACTTCCGCATTCTGACAGTGGAGAGAGGACCGGAGGGAGCTCATATACCGATCTCGCTCTGATCCCCTGTCAGAGAGCCACTATGCTGGTCCCAGGCCCGCACCGGGCACAGCAGAGCCCGGGACCAGCGGGAGGGGGTGCCGCCGAGGGGGGGGCATGGACCGTCAGCTTATACAAGCGATATAGAGCAGGCGTATCGTTTGTATGTTAACAGGCATCGCTGCCTGTTTTTACATTTTGGGACTTTCCCGCTGCTCGGTGCGTGAGTGGGCGTGGCTGAGCGGACGTCTAAAGACGCCAGCTCAGATCTAGAGAGTTTTTTTACAACGGCCGGCCGGGAGATCATTAAATATTATATCTGTGACATTATTAATCGATACTATATTTGTGTCATTATTTAGGATAGTGCGGCACTTACATACTCGCATCTGCAACATTGTATTTATTATCAAATGCAAGCAGTGTAAATACATGAAATAGACTTGGCATCAGCTGCTTGCAGTCCCTGTACAGCAAAGCTCAGACTAGGGGATATGAAGCAGCACAGTGAGCCAGTCAGTTGCATATAGTTTCCCCAAAGACAGTCTGGTACCCTTCAGCACTCCCCTCTCCATAGGCACAAGCATAGCATTTCATGCAAACATTCATGTTTATAGAAAGATTTTCAATGGAAGATGATTCAGTGGTACATGTATTACTGGCAGCCTTCCATTGTTTGAAAGCAGCTTACAGGATAAGTCCACTTATCCATTTTGCCCTTTCCAGGTGCATGTTTTTAGTGGACTTCACTCTTTGATTTCATCCCTACAGCACTTCTGTGCACTGGCCGATCATTTACAGTAATTTCCCATTGACTTCTATGGGACCATCTCCTGAGCATCTCTGGACACAGTCCCATAAGAACCTATGGAGGCCCCACCAGCACATACAGGATTTGGATGTAAACAACAGTGGATACCATGGGGGCATCTGGAGAGGGGGGATAAAGGGTAAGTGCTAGGGATGAAATGAAATTTTTAGACCGAAACTGAAAATAAATATTTTGTCAGGCCAAAACCAAAAATTACTTTTGTTCCCCAACCTTTTTAACATTATTTAAATTATTTTTTTAAATTATATTTATTTATTTATTTACTGTTAGGGGCTTTGGTGAAATATCAGGGGTCCAAACAGACCCCTGATATTTCCCTTTTAATGCAAAGACATAAAGCAAACACCAAACAATGTCAGTGCTGAACTATTTTGCTATATATCACATTTCACATTGAGGGTTTATTAACACTTTAAATTAAGGGTAGGCAACCTTGGCACTCCAGCTGTGATGAAACTACAATTCCCATCATGCTTCTTCCTCTGGGAGTCATGTCTGTGATTGTCAGTGTTTAGCAACGCCTCATGGGACTTGTAGTTCCACAACAGCTGGAATGCCGAAGTTGCCTACCCCAGCTTTGGGGAAAATAGGTACGTGTATTAGAATGGGCATGGATTTACTTGTCTGCACTAGCAGAGAAGATCAGCAGAGTCGTCAGTCCAACTGAATAAAGTCTCTGCCGTTAATAGCCCTCAAATCTCATTGCTGCTGATGGCCACTTGATGCAGGACTGGAACTAATTTGTAAATGCTCATTCATGTTCCCTACCCACCATCACAGCTATTGCCCTATTAAAGCCACCCAAAAAACTGGACTGAGATACAGTCATATGCCTATGGGGTATGCAGACACCAACCATAGCAGTTTTTCAATTTTCTCAGGCAATCACTATTCTCTCAAGGTAAGGTTGCCTCTAATATTTCCTGTGAAGTGTATAAATATGCATGCCTGGCTGATGCGAATCTGCATGATGATGCTACAGTCATTGCAGAGAACATGGTGCATGAATAATTTTTCATTCCTTCTTCGCTTATCTATATCAAGCCACAGGGCTCATGTAGATGTGCATTTTAATTTGAAAGCGCCATTTAATTGCATGTCTGCAGCATTTAATGTACTTTGTTTAGTGTGGATGGCCATTGAGGATGTATGTGACCTGGTTTGCATTCCTTTGGATGCAGCTACTTCTGCTGTGATCTGTTCTTGCTGCTTCCAAGGTTTCCCAGCTGCAGGCATACAAGCGGGGAAAAAATGGGAAAACCCTGTGTGGGAAATAGCAGGTGAAATGCTACTCAGATGTATCATTTGCCTCAATGTATGCATTCAACTAACATCACATTGAATGTTAAATGTATCATGCAGAGACAAAGCCCATCTCCACAAGCCCTAAAGGGTCAGTCCACCCAATACCGATTTTTTTAGTTTATTTACTTCACAGAGAATAGAAAGCGCATTGTTGAACCTTACAAAATATTATGTGCTTCATGATGCAGTCTGCAAAGCACAGAGCTTCACAGCGTGCACTTCATTCACACAACTCCCCCACAAACATTTCATTGCAGCATGTTCCTGGGACTGTTTGGACCGCAATTCTCAGCAGTGTTTTCAGTACATTTCAGTACACTGTAAGTATAAACTTCCTGTTCTGAGAATGGCTGGACAGGATTTTGGTGCCAAAAGGCCAGCAGTGGGTGGCACGTGTTTTGTCTGTGCTGCGATAAGCTCTTGTCTTCTCCTCTAAGTGTTTTCGGATGTTTCTGGCTCTTAATGTTTACAAGGTCAAGCTAAAAAGACAAACTTGTATGTGAAAATTTGATATAAGAACTGGTTACTGGCAGTGGGTTTCATCCAGTACTGAAGTAAATTTCATTCCCCCATGGGTGCCATCATAATACTTTTAGGAGTAAGACATCTACTAGAGGTTTGCCCTGTAGATAGCTGGTATAGATGGTTTTGCCTAGTGCAGTGGTTCTCAACCACCTGCCCATGACCTCTCTCCTGACATGCCCTGGCCTTTCTCTAGACATGCCGTGGCCTTTCTCCTGCCATGCTGTGACCTCTCTCTTGCCATGCTGTGGCCTCTATCCTAACATGCCGTGACCTCTCTCCTGCCATGCCCTTGCAGTTCTCCTGCCATGCTGTGGCTTTTCATCTGCCATGCCATGGCCTCTCTCTTGACATGCCATGGTCTCTCGCCTGACATGCTGTGGCCTCTCTCCTGACATGCCGTGACCTCTCTCCTGCTATGCCCTGGCCTTTCTCCTGCCATGATGTGGCCTTTCAACTGCCATGCTGTGGCCTCTCTCTTGACATGCCATGGTCTCTCGCCTGACATGCTGTGGCCTCTCTCCTGACATGCCGTGGTCTCTCTCCTGCCATGCCATGACCTATCTACTGCCATGCTGTGACTTCTCTCCTACCATGCCATGACCTTTCTTTTGCCATGCTGTGGCCTCTATCCTGCCATGCCATGACCTCTTTCCTGCCATGCTGTGGCTTCCCATATACAGTATAGAGGGGAGGGAAAATGTGTGTGCGTCTTATGTAGCGAATCTCTATCGCCCGACGCCCGGGACATGCAGTTTCGGGCGCTGGGCGAGTAGTTTTTTTGTACATTCAGCCCTGCTCCGGACAAGCAGAGCTAAATGTACAGTGGGAGCCGCTGCTCGTTTAATACAAGTGATCTAATTAGATCACTTGTATCAAATCGAGCGGCGGTGGCGGCGATCGTGTCACTTTTTTTTCTGTCCGAATCTGAATCCCAAAACAAATTAACTTTCGGACATTTAATATATAAAAAAGAATTTCCAGAGCACCATGGATTATTAGAAGAGACGTCATGCCTGTCTTAAAGCTGACCCTAAGTCACTACTGTACTCTGTAGTAATGTAGGGATCAGCGAGAGGAACCACAGCACA